CATTAACCGAGGAATATTGACCCAGAAGCGTATTTAGAAATCAATATTTTTCTATGAAACCCTTTCCGAAGAATAATAATAATAAGAAACGACTGAAAAAAAAACGGAAACCAATAATTTAAAGACATTAAGCACTAAGTCATTAAAAATGTATACCTGTAAATAATAATCAAGAAAATTCTTACATCTGGAATCCAGTGGAGTGTTTGAATCATTATTTACGCATGATGGATTTATTTGATTACAGTCCAGTCTGAAGAATAAACGATTACATAAAAAATTCTGTGTAAGAACTCTAAATTATATAAATGTAGACCACTGATAGTTTAAATATTTAATACTAAATTCAATGCTGTTTTTCTTAAACAAGTCACTCTTTAGTAGTAAACTATACTTACAAACTGAATCTCTTCATGCTTTATAAATTTTAAATACTTAACTCCATGTAGAGTATAAAAATTACTGCCACTATTTTCAACGCCGTCAGAATAATAGTTTGAAGCAAAAATGGGTTTCGACTTTCAGGAAAGAACTAATAAAATGTTACGACGTTTAAGAATCATGGGAGTGTGGTCTAAACATGGACTTTTCCGTTGTGATTTATATTTTTTATATTTTATTACAATTTTTATTTATTGTAACTTTCATAATATGTCACAAGTAGTTAATCTTATCCAACACTATGACGATTTGGAAGAAGTGGCATCATCTGGTTTATTAACGCTTGTGAAATTATTTACTAACCTTAACCCTTAACTTGGCAATGTATCTTGTGAGATACATAAAATCGAAAATTTTTTTTGCTCGTAATTTGTACCATTTCGTTTTCAAAATCATACCAATGTTGTGCTGTATGTTTCATTTAAAACATGTATTTTTTTTATGAATTTTACTTAATGTTTAAAGCAAATTAACAACGTTTTTGTTGCAGCGCGCATGGTTCTTATTCAACTTTCCGAAAATTTCAGTACATGCTCTTACAAAATTGTTAATTATACTGGTATTTTGGGCCAACAAAGCTTGTTTTTTATTTTGGAACCTTCTAAAAGCATCATAAATAACATATAGTTAACTCATTGTTGAAAATACTTTATACATAGCATTTAATTAAGATTTAAACTGTGTGTATCTCACGGGATACACTGCCAAGTTTAGGCAGAATCATGGTTGTATCCTGTGGTACACACTGCCTCGTTTCCAAGCATCGATAGGTGTATCTGTAGAGATACACCGCCAAGATGTAAATAAATCATTGTTGTATCTTCTAGGATACATTGCCAATTGATATCCATATATAGAAAAATAAAATTTCTAGTTATTCAAACGTGAATAACATAATTTATTGATTATAGTCAAGGTTACAAGCAACGTGTATATACATTTATCAGTTAATGTAACGTTCATTTGAGAAGACTATATCAAAATTATATTTATATAACAACAATTTTATAATATGCATATGTACACAAGTCTGCTTATTAATAAAATGAAGGCAAGTAATCAACGTGTCGATCACAAAACCTTGTTTATTAATGTCTGCTTACTTCCTTGAATTTTAAGTTTAAAAACTTCGAGGATAATACTGTTAGTTTTTGCGTTAACTAAAAGCCCTGGACAGGTTGTAACCCAAGCAATTCTCAGAATCCCAACATCTGGTCAGGTATCTTTACTTCCTGACATTTGAGCGGGAAACCGTACCATAAATTTTGGTTCTATTCTGTTGTTGGATGAAACATATACAAAATAACCTAATTACGGCAATGTTTATGATGTATCCAGCTCTGTCCTTGCACTCTGATTATTATTTCCAGTTAAGAGCAAATGAAATTAATTTACCGTTCCACATTAAATTTCTAGATAGTTGGAATATAATTTAACAAATTGTTATAAATTTTGCAGTTTATTTAGGTATAGATATTTCAGAAAGTTGTGTTGAACGAAAATATTGAACAAATTTGAAATTTTGGTTCTAATTTTAAATGGGTCGTAATTAAGTGTGCATTATTTTTAATACTTTGTGCATTAAATTTTATACTATGCGCAATAACATTTGTGCATTAAATTTACTATGTTGCGCAATAAGTTTTTGTATTTTGTGCATTATATGTATTAAGTGCAAATTGGAATAATAAAATTATTGTTTTGGGCAATGATTTTCTGTACTGCGTGCATTATTGAAACTATAGAAAATAACAAACAAAGATAGACCTACTGTATTAATGTATTTTATGAATACATACAAAATTAACAAAAAAAAAAAAGATATTCATAGCAAAAAAGTAGCTAAACAGATTAAAAGTTTAAAAAAAATTAACAAAGAAACTTAAAATAAACATTCTTTCATCAAAAAACTCAATTACTAAGCATTATTAATTTATTGAATAATAATAATTATTAATGCTTTCTTGGCTTTGGAAGGGGGGATTTCTTCCCTGCCGAACTGACGCGAAATGAAGCACATGACACGTCTTTTAAAGAGTGGAAATGTAATGCCCACTTTACTGTGAACTAATGCACATTTTAGTAATTTACGGAACATTTGAAATGCTCGTTTAATTTTTCTCAAATACAAATTGATTTATTAAAGAACCAGTTATTTTAACGAATGAACAAATTTAATTAAATAATTATAAATTGCATTATTTATTGCGCACATAGAAAAAATAATCTGCCATTATTTTATTTATTGTCCTTTTAGTTTTACAAATGCTGAAATAGTTTCTTCTGTGGTTAAATGTTTTTAATAATGCTGTTACTTATTTCACATTTCATTAACACTAGTGCGCATTTAAATTGTTCTCATTTTAAATTCATAAGACAAATTTAGACATATTGTGTTAAAAAAATAAAAAAAAAAAACAGAAAATCCAAAGCAAATTTGTTTGAATAAATTAAATACTATACACACACCGACACTTGTATTTTTGTAAATTATATTTTTAGTACTAATAGTGAACAAATTTTGGATGAACTGTTAATTAGTATTTTGATTTTCATTAGATAATTTCCTTAATACAAAGTTTTTTTTATTGTCATTTGAATTTCCTTTTATTTTGCACTACTTAATTTAATGCAAACGGCAGCGGAAAATTAATCAGATTTCAATGAATAAATACAGTACAATTTCGTTAATTTCCGTTCGATCAGGCCAAGCCACAGAGTGCCCATCGTAATTCGCACATGCACTTGCAACACTCAAGTGTCCTTCGCTGTTTACATCTTTCACTTTAATTTTTATTACCATGGTCAGAACGGGATTTACAAACCCCTATACAAACAATCTAAACGTCCATCTGGGTAGGTAGTCGAACGATTTACGCGGGAAAGAGTATTGTAAATTATGGGTCCGTTTTCTTTGAGCAAATGTTATTCATAAACGAATCTGTCGACAAAATTTATATTCTTCTTTATAACTGCATGTTTTTGTGAACTATGTTTAGATTTTCCATTAAAAAACATACCTTTGCACATTATAAATTTTCTTATATGTTTAGTGTTATAATGTGCACTAATGTTACATAGGTTGTATTATTTATTATCAAAATATTCATGCAAAAGCATTAGTAATACTAACAAAATTCCCATGTGCAAGCATTTTTTAATTAATTTACTAAAACATTTATTGAATAAGTAATGAATCATACAGCATAACTACAATAAATTATTTCTACTTAAGAGCAACTAAAGTTATTTAATTTTACCTCCCACATTAGATTTTTGTAAGGTTGCAATATTTAGCAAACTGATTTGCCTTTTGCAATTTATTCTTAAACATAAATTTAGGCTTCTTATGTTAAAAAAAAATAAAAATAATAAACAGAAAGTTTAAAACAAATTTCTAAAAAAAAAAAAATCATGTATATATAGAGCACATATAGAGTTACTTGTATATATTTTTTAAATTATGTTTTCTATAATAGTGGTATGAATTTTGAATGAACTGTAAATTAATATTTTAATTTTCAGTAGATTGTTTTCTTAACAGAAAAAGTTTATTTTTTGCTGTTACCTATTTAAATTTATAATATTCTTGATATTTAGACTGTTTAATTTAATGCAAGTGCTAACAGAAAATTTGCCAATGTTTCAATTAATATATGTAGGTATGAATACGTCAAGCCACTGATGAGTCGCAATTTGTACGTTAAAATACAAGTGCAAACTCAAATATTCGTTTCGCTCTTTACATCTTTCATTTTAAAGTTTTTTTACCATGGTCAGAATAGAATTTACAAGACCCTGTCCCTATACTAACAATCGGACCATCTGGTTAGTTGAATTCCGCGGGAAAATGTGTTGTAAATTATGGGACCGTTCTCTTTGAGCAAATGTTCACAAACGAATCTGGCGGCAAGATTTATTTTATTCTTAACGTTGTTGTTTTTAATTTTCACAATAGTACGCAATAATTATGTAAAAGGATTAATTTATTATATTATATTTTATACTGTTTTAATTGTGTAAAATAATGAATATAATTATATTTGTAAAAAAATCATGAGTTGTCTCAATCTGGTGTTCTGGACCGAGTTTGATTAATAATTATCTATATTTACTGAGATTTTGATACAATTTTAGTACATTTATATCAGACCAACATAAAAATCAGGTTGTATCTTAGGAGATACATTGCCAATATTGCTTAAAATCATGGTTGTATCCCACAGTTCACACTGCCAGCTTTTCGATGAATTTATGCTGTGTTCCTAAAATCTGGCAATGTATCTACACAGATACATTCCAGTACCCCCTAAACCGGGCGGTGTATCTTCTGAGATACATAGTTGTAAACAAAGAACGATTGTGTTGAAAATTATTCTGAACGATTTTTTTACTTTGTAACTTCCATATATGTACAAAAATGTAGAAAGATAATTTTTTTGTGACCTCTTTTGGTTTTGCCAAGTTAAGGGTTAAGGCGTATTGTGTTATAAGAAATAGGGACAAGATACTGCGAATCAACGAAACAGTACAAAAGAAATCTTTTCAGCCAAGGAATTCCTATCAAGAGAAGGAAGCATTATCTACCCTTAAAATATTTGACGTAATGTACATAACTCATTTCTGTGGACCCACAGCAACAGTGTTATTTTTTGGGTTGTATCCGATTGCAGAACTGTTAAGAGGTAATAGAAAGCTACCGTTTAACGCCTGGTATCCCTATGATTATAAAATATCGCCGATTTATGAATTAACTTATTTTCATCAATTGACTGCTCCTTTTACAATGGCTCAAATTCAAGTTCACACAGATTGTTTGTCAATTAACCTGATTGCAATTCTTATTGCGCAGCTTGATATTCTAGCTGACAATGTAAAGAATATTTCTAGAACAAAGTATCAGCAATCGGATAAAGCTTCCGAAATGATGGAGACGGAACTACTTGACTGTATACAACACCATAAGGAAATTTTGTCGTAAGTAGTTTTCAGATGATATTTTTTATGTGTACTTTTTGCTTTTTAGATGTTTTGGAGATGTTTATCAGTTCTTAAATATTACTATGTTTGCACAGTTTTTAATAAGTACCATATCGCTCTGTTTAACGCTGTTGGAGCTATCTGTACTTAGTCCCGCAAGTACGCATTTTGCTGCCCTAATTATTTATATGTCAGCTCTTATGGTGGAATTGCTGTTATTCTGTTGGTGGGGCAATTTACTTATAGTAAAGGTACAAATTTTGTAATTGTTTTAACTATGTAGATTTATGCGTGATCATCGTTTTTCAGAGTCAGCTATTACCTCAAGCAGCATTTGAATGTGATTGGCTAGCAGGGTCTATAACTTTTAGAAAAAATTTATCTTTCTTTATTTTTCGAGCACAAAAAGAGATGGCACTATATGCGGTGGATTTCTTTAAAATTTCTCTAGGAAGTTTTGTTCTGGTGACTTATAATTGCAGGTATTTGGTCACATTTGCACTAATATTTGACGATTTACAGATTCTTAAAAATTCATATTCGTTTTACGCCGTTCTGCGCCGAGCAAACAATGCTGCTACAAACTGATTTTCACTAAAAAGCTGAAGTTTATTTAGAAGCTGTTTGGTATGTATTTTCCTTTACCACTAAAGTGTCATGGTGATAGATAAAGTACCTTTTTCTGCCCTTCGGGTTTGAATGGATGCTTGTTTACACAAAATATATGTCTATAACTATATACATATAACCTTGTATTTATTTATTTTTATTTCTCGTTATCTTCTCTACTTTTTCCTTTTTAAAACCTGCTCCTATGGCATCTCTATTTCTCTCATCCCTTATATACTCACACAGCATATGCTCAATTGTTTCTCTCATACTACAACATATTCTGAATACTCACTATTCTGCTTCCAACCAAAACTTGTTTTCTCTTTCTTCGTTCCTGCGTCTAATCCTCGCGATCATCATTATTGCTTTCCTATTCGTCTTGTCAAGTTATTGTGGTCATTGATCGGTTATAAGTTCTTTGTACCCCGAGTAGTACCTTATTCTTTTATCCTCCCTCTCCGTTCTTGTCTGTCATAATTCTCGTCTCCTGGTACAGTCTTTCGATTTCCATACATGCATATCGATTTATCTAATAGTAATAGTATTTGTCTTCCTTTTCATGCACATTCCTTTTTCTATAGTCTTTTCTACCTCTCTTCTATATTCTCTCAGCATCTTACACTTTGTTTTCTAACTCATTTTTTCTTAATATTTTACTGCTGTTTGTCCTTTTTCTATTTTCTATTTAGTTCTAATACTTATTCAGATACTTTTCTTGCATTCTTTAATTAATCATATTCCCCCATCCCCACACCTCTGATCTATACATCAATGTACTCTTTACCATGCTATCAAACATCATGATCATCCTTCTCTTTGTGTCATATCCAAACTTCCTCGCACCTATACTCCAAACAATACTGGATGTCTTCTGTTAGAGTTATTAGTGGTGAATGTACTGCTATATCATAAATATTTCAATTCTTTTATCACCACTATCTCTTTTTCTTCCCAAGCCCATTTTGTTTTCCTCATTCGTACCTTTGTACCAAATAAGTATCATTAATTTCCTTTTCTCTACACTCGCTTCAAAATTTTTCCTTTCTATGTATCTTCCCAAGCTAATCATCATTTCTTTCATTTCTTTTTCGTCCTTTGCGATTATTACCAGGTTGTAATCTCGTCCCATGACAACCCCGTGGCTACATTTTTCTGAACATTTCCGCAATCTATAAAAGTTTCAAACAGGTTGGTGCTTAGTGGACATCCTTGCCTTATTCCCTTACATGTATAAAAAAACTTCACTCTCAGTTCCATTTACTCTTACCTTGCATTTCGTTCTTGCATAGATTTCTTCTATCTTACATATACTAATTGTTCATTTATTCCTTTCCCTTAAATTGTCTCCGTATTCTCTCTGTAGCTACCGCATTGAACGCTGCCGTAAGGTCTACGAACATTGAATAGATCCTACCACTTTTTTTATTTCTTATTTTCTAACATGATGGAAATACATTAATGTTTGTTTTACCCCTGCCTCTTCTAAAACTCGCCTGTCTATCTGGTAAAATGGTATTTTCCTTCATCTCAATCCTCAACCCCTCTTCCAATAATATTGCATACCTATAGTTTATTTACAGTATTCATCAAGATAATTCCTTGATAGTTTTAACGTCATTTATTTTTTAAATATGAAAAATATTATGCCCTCTCTCCATTTTCGGGGAAATTCTTTGCCTTCAGACATTTTCCTTCACACCTCATCCTTTCTATACATCCATGCTATATCTGTCTTGTTACTTCTTGTCTACTGATTTCTTTTCCCCTGGGTTGGGGATTTTGGGCTACCATCTTTGACCGTTTTCTCATTCTAGAAATTCCTAAAAATATTTCCTCCATTATTCAGTCTTGATTTCTCCTGCAATTGCGTCTTCTTCTTTCTTTCTGTATTAGTGTAGGTCCACGCTTCTTGCTCTGTTCTAATCTCTTTTATTCTGTTTCTTCCTCTCTTTGCTTCTGCCTAAAGTGTAATACTGTAACACTTACAAAAGAAATTAATTACCGTGCCCATAATTTCAAAAGGTACTATTTTATTAAAAAAAAAACTGGACAAATGACAGTGACACGAACAACCTATTCTCATTGCTTGAACCTGATTTTCTCATCTTGTCTATGATAACCCAAATAATTTTCCTAGTACTGTATCTCAAGATTTTTTTCAATAAGTTTTGTCATAATTTCCATGAAACAATGTAGCATGACTTAATAACAGACACATTAATTTAATAAAGAAAAAAAATAGTTCGCCAGGTAATAATAATTTTCAAATGCAACATACGAAATGAATAATGCTACTGGTGTACAAAGATTACGAGGGATATTTCGAACGAAGTGTAACTAATACCGTTCCTGCGCAATAATCTGGGAAAGTTATGTAACCTCAAACTTTTAGGCACTGTGCTACACTTGTGGAAAATGTTTGGTCTCTGAGTTTAGCTAAATAGCTAGACTTAGAGACCAAACATGGTCTTGATAGCAGTCGAGCATGGTTGCTTAGTTTTCTCTCTTCCCTTGTTTACAACTGTAGTTCATGTTTTTCTGGTAAAAATAAAAATGAGAGTAAACTCAGTAACGAGAAGAGTTTTCTTTCTCTTGCAGATGCCTCACATATTTATATGATAAGATACTGGTACTTTTTCATGAGTCTTTGCAAAGTAGTGTCAAATTTAGGATTCGTTAACTTGACAGGGCCTAGTAATAAATTCTGCAAACTTAGTTCCGAACTAGATCTTGCTTCACTGTACAGGAAGAAGCGGCATGGTCGAACTGGATCCTGCAGAAGAACAATAAAAATATGAATCAAGTTTTGTAATGATGTATGTCCATACCTTTATTTTGATTTTTTTCAGTGTGATAATCACGAATTTCTGAATTTTGTAGTATTAAAATTTTTATAAAACTATAGACTACGCTTTTAGCTGATTAATACTGTTGTCACTCGGTATACCCAGACCGGTGTGGGTCCCAACAATATTGATGTGTGTATAAACAAAACAACAGATTGCTCTTACCTTTTTTGAAGAAATCTAATTTTTGGCGACACCAAGTCACAGAATTCACTACTTTTGAGTCCGCGAACCGCAAAGAGGAGTTGTCAAGAAAGAGGATGGAAACTACCGAGTAGTCGACCAGCCTCCTTTATTTTTCACACACGTTACGAAATCTTACATTAACAAACAAAAACAAGACAACCTTAAACCAAATGAAAACTAAGAATTTTGAATAAAATTAAAAGAGAGAAGTTAACACAACTCTAGACTCTACACTAAAAGTTCAAGCAGATTATTGAAAGTAAAAAACAATCCGCGGGAGAATTTCCCGAAGCAGTAAGCAGTAGCAGTAACTAAACTTTGTGACAAATTTTGCAGCTAAGTCGTACCTTCCTGATTAGAGGGCGTACTTCTTGGTCAATCACCTCCTTTCAGGGGTGGTTTCTCACAGGGACTGACAAAAATATCCATATTTTAGAGGGGTACTCGACGACCATTGACAACGGTGAGAATTTTCTATGCTTGAACCCTAATAACAATTATCCCACTTCGGAACTTGCTAACCAAGTTCTTTAGTCCGGACTCGAGGCGGCAATACAAAACACACCTCTACAAATCCGGCCGAAACTAAAGCTCTTTTCTCAAAAACTTATCTGCTATGTACAATAATTATCAAACCTACAATCAAGGAAAAACATCTATCTCTACGAATACGCGTCAAAGACTGACATATCTGGTGCTTAATAGCTTTCGATGAAGAACGTTTCAATTTTGTACCTCTAGACGACGGGATTCCACGTTATTGCTGGGGCTCATTGTATAAAAGTGCATCAAACCGAAAACGTGCCCGGTTCATGGGCGTCTTAGGGAACTTTTTATGGTACTGATAGATATTGCGGGGTAATTTAGGACTTCTGGGTAATAAGATGGGACGGCGTAATAAACCATTATTCATCAGATATGCCATCTCCGTTTTCTGGAAAAATTCCCATCAGAAAATGTGACGGTTGTCTCTAATAAACGCCAAAAGAGTCTATCCGACGATGCGGTGGTTTGCACGTATTACACTGTACTATTACGATTTATGGGAATTAAACCAAAGTGGGTCAAAACTCAAGAAACTATTTATTGGTAATACGAAGTTATGCAGCGATAATGTACAGCGAATAATTTTCTTGTCTTCTAGGCTTTTCTTGTCTCGAACATCCCGGAACGCCGCAGGCTGCCCATTGATGAATCATGAGTTTAACTTGTAACAGTATTAATATCTTAATTTTATCCCCAAATGTTGTACTTCACATAATCGGAACTTCGTTGCTTTCCTGCAGTAGAATTCGTTTAATTTTGGCAAGATGTTATAAAACTTTATTAATTACAACATCTGATGGTATGCTTTGATTTCTATTTTCGTCCGATACACTGTATTTACACGGGTGAAGAATGCCTACGTCTCTTAGCATTTTAGGGGTAGAAACGATATCTGCGTAAATACAGTGTGTCGATCGAAAACAAAAACATAAACATACCGTTTTACAACATCTCACCAAAATTAAATGAATTCTACTTCTCATATATTTCGCATTGTATTATTACATTTAAAACTGTTAAACTGTTTACCAATTTCAGTATAGTAATTTGCGACTTTCTAAATACGCACCTATTACGTTAAATAAACGTCCCCGCGTGTTCATTATTCTAGTCATAAGAAAAGCTCCACTCGAACAGGCAAGCCCGAATACATCAGTTGCATATAATGGAACCCAGTTCAGTTACAGGCCGAGCCGAGATTCAATCGAAATGTTTACCTAAATTGACTTCGGAATCTATTCAGTATCTCTGGTTTAGATTTCGATTAATTTACATCAATCGTTCAAAAGCTACCATCCGTTTTAGAATTAGCTTTAGTTAGCTCCATTATTATGCTTAGTACCACTGTATAAAAATAAGCAGTTTCTTGTAGTAAGTAAATATCTTATTCAATATAGTAATCAACATAAAATGTAAAAAATCTTTGGTACAAATTTTCATTCTTGATTAAAAAAAACTACGAAACTTGTATCCTGTACGAGCTATTGATATTTTTGGTGAAATATAAACGTTTTTGTACTTTTTGTTTAATGTAGATAAAAAAACGCACGACAAAATGTAAGAGATGCCATAGTTAAGACATTTTAAAAAATTTAGTGACATTCCTTGTTTCACGCCCCACAACCGTCATATGTGGGGTACTAGTTGTAAGATTAATGGTCCGAATTGGACCATCCACTCGTACCTTGAATCTGCTTGAAATTAAGTTGACGTTGTTAAACTTTATTTTTCAGCAGTAGTTTCTCCGAAATAAATGAAACGGTTACTTTCGAATTTTAGGTGTAACTTAAGATTCTAATGAGAGTGATATTCAAAACTGGGATTTTCTCAAAGTATTATTGATTAACCCTTATAAGTTAAAACAAAGATATGTGTGAATTTGGACCCTTAGAGCAAAAAATTAAGACAGATTCATAAACCACAGGCATAAAAATTGTTCGTGAGAATAATCAAATAAATTTTTGTTAGCAATTAACCATCTAATAATATTATTAAAATACATATAAGATTTCACAACACTGCGTCCAGTAGTTTCCAAGATTGTCTGCCTAATCAAATCGCCAACAAACCACACACAGAGAGAGACGACAGACAATAGATGTAGACGGAAATGGCATATCTATTTTTTCATACTTCAGAGATCATAAAATGTAAAGAAAACATGAAAGAAACCTTTCGTATAATGGACCCTATTACAATACTTCCCGAGCAAAAAATGCATTTTATCTGACCAGTACCGGCAAATGCATGCTTCACCTTCAGTACCCATTCCATTGTCAATATAAAAAATCAGTGGTATAGGTAGTTTCTTTTAATTCAGCAACTAACTTGGCAATTAAAACATTCATAGCTCAGCAAAATTAGTAATTTCTAGCTGCTAGTTTATGTTGAATAATTTACAACAGAGTAACAACAGCAAAAAGAACAGTAATAAATAATAAAATATTGAGAGAGAACCTCCATGTGGTTGAATAGATGCGCATACTAAAATAAAATCATGACTGCTAAATTTTGTAGTTTATAAAGAACACCTACTACGTTTTCAATGTTGGTTTCACCTCCTTAATTAGGGCTGAATTAATATTATTAAACTAATTTTGGATCTCCTATACGGCGTTTTATTTTGACCAGGAATAATTAACAATGACTTGCAGAGGTTTTAGTGTTCAAAGTTTAAAAGAGGCATGTCCAATTAAAGCTAACTTTCCTTATTAATTAAATCAAATCAAAACATTGCCAGAGGGCAAATGCAGAAAAAATTGCTTTATTTAAACAGTTTATAATGATGGCGTCCTATTTTCTCCTTAAAAGTTAGTTCTGGTAATTTAATTACTGACTAGTAAACAAACCTTCTAGTATGTTGTACATACAGTCTATAGGACGAATCACAAACCTTGATCCCCTTTTTTTGGTCAATAAAATATCTCTAACGGATTCGTCAGGAAGGTTTTATTTTATTTAGAAACAATTTATAATTCAGAAACATAGAAAATCAGAACGCTGCTCTTTTAAAAATTAATTCAATAATGGGTTGTGAAGGTCTCTGAATTACTATAATAATACACAAATTTACTCAGCCATAAACAACCGATAACTTTAAAAATTTTGTGACAAATTTTAGTTCGAATAAATAAATCGTTGAAACGTAATACATTTCATAAAATATGTAAGAAGTTATATTTTCGTAAATTGTAAAAGACTACTTTAATAGATCCGTTCTCTGTGTTCCCATAGTTTATTCAGAGTTTTTACGTCATTACCCTTAATATTAAATCTCTATAATACTTATACGATTCGTTAACACAGTTTTGCCCAGTTTAAGAAATAACTGTCACTTAAAATGGGTTTTGATTTTCAGAAAAGAACTAGCACAATTTTGGGCCGTTTAAGATTATTAGGAGTTTGGTATAAAAAAGACTTTGGTGACTTTAGTTTATATCATGTGTATTCTCTTTTCATTTTTGTGTTTTACAATTGTCATAATTTAGCACAAGCTATTCATTTATTTGAGCATTACAACGACGTGAGTATATTGGCATCATCTGGACTGCTTACCCTTGTTGAGATATTTACCAATCTTAAAGTCTATTGCATTGCGATAAACAAAAATAAAATTTTAAAACTTAATAACAAAATGCAGGACAAGTTGTTCCAACCGAAGAACTCTTCTCAGGAAAAAATAGCCATGTCAACATTTAAAATATTTGATATCATGTATTTAACTCACATGATAGGACCTACGATTTGTGTAATATTTTTCGCCGTGTATCCTCTTGCAGAAATGAAACAAACTAAAAACAAGACTTTACCCTTCAACGGCTGGTACCCGTTTGATTATAAAATATCGCCGTTTTTTGAATTAACCTATTTTCATCAGCTGGTGGGTTCTTTCATAGCCGCTCAGACTCAGGTCAATATAGACTGTTTAGCTATTTATATGATCGCAATGCTTACCGTTCAAGTGGATATTTTAGCAGACAATGTAAGAAATATTTCTGCAAAAAATGAAGAGAATGAAAGAGAAAAAAGTATGGATTCACATTTGTTTGATTGCATAAAACATCATACGGAGATTTTGACGTAAGTATTGCATAGTAAAGTACCTCGCTTATGTTTTTTTTTAGTTGTTTTTACGACGTTTATAAGATTTTAAATCTTATTATGTTTGGACAATTTATTATGACTACCACTTCGCTGTGTTTGTCCCTACTTGCGTTGTCTGAAATTAGTCCAGGTAGTACACATTTTGCTGCCCTTGCAATATATATAATAGCCCTCATGACAGAACTCTTACTATTCTGCTGGTGGGGTAATCTACTAATAGTTAAAGTAAGTTATTGTCAGTTATATCATAAATTTTTAAACTATATTGTAGTGGTAGTAACTAAGTAGTAATAGTTTATTTTTACACTTTGTTTTGATACTCTCTGAAAAAATATTTGCCCTGCATTAAGCTTGTACAGTTATAAATTCAGATATTTATTTTTTGGATGATGATATTTACGTTCCTATAGTTTTAAAAATTTCCAAGTGTGTCTTTTAAATTTAAAGACTTTATTTTAAGAATTGTTCTTCCGTAAAAAGTTTTGGTTGTTTTTTTTACATATTCTGATATGCACGAAGTGTGTTCAGTACAATAATTTCCACTCAAGTATCTCGTAAATGGTAAGCGTGGCTATTTTATTCATTCCTGCGTCTGACAACCTACATCGATTGGATATCAGTATTATGTCACGTACAGGTTTCCCGTAATAATGCACCGTTATAATTTAAAAAATAATACTAAAATACTTCGGGTTTCCATTGTTATTTCTTAATATCGCTAAGATATTTTTTTTGAAAAAAGTTTAATCTACAATTTTATTGAGTGTATCAAAAGTTGTAGTTATTCCCTTTAAAACCCCTCATAGTATTAATACCGCTAATAATAATAGCAGCAAGTTTTATACAGAAATTGTTGGATACGCCAAACATAGCACTTCTAGGAACACTAAGAAAACGTAAGATTAAAATTTCATAAAAATATGATCATTTGTAAATAAAAGAAAAATAACCCCCAGTTTTAGACTTGGAATAAAATAGAATAACTTTGCAGAAGTAATAAAAGTGTAAATACAAAAAGTCAGAATGCAGTTTATTACTGATACGATTCTAAAACATACCATTCAAATAAAAAAATTTGTAAGTAGTCCATTTGACTTTTTTTTTTATTTTAATGTGAGCTGTTGTATCTTGGGGCTAAAAACGTAAAGACATTTGAGTATCGTCTGTGTATAGATGCAAACTTCAGTATTTAGGCACAAAATGAATATCGGATATAAAACATTATAAATACAAAAAAGGACCGAAAGTAGAGCATTGTGGGATACCTCTTTTAATAGCAGGAATGGAGGAAATGTCTTGACCTTTGGCCGGGTTTATACGACAAACCTGTTTTCGATTGTGCAAATAATTACGAAACTAATTTAAGGTAGAACTAATTACACACAACCAAAGATTTATTGCACTTCTGCCGGGGTTTGGTTGTGGAATTTTGTTCTGGCATTTAAACTTATTTATCAGCAAAATATATAAAAAAAAATATTCAGCTTTTTATTATTCAGTTATTGATTTGGAGGGGAAAATGTGTTGGCTGTACACTTTTTTCACAAGAAATACTCATCTTCGAATAACAGAGCTGTTACTTTATATGTATAAATAATAACTAGGTAAGTATTTTAACCTCCATTCTGAATTAGGGGTAGCGTATTTCGGTTGGTAGTAGTTGGCAGAATGGGCGTTTTTTATTCAGTAGGTATAGGAAACTTCATCTTGATTTTCGTGATTACTGAAATATACAACGTCGGTCGCTATCTCTTAAGCTAACATAGTACTAGCATATTCTAGGATCAAATCATGAAGAAGAAGAATTTTAAACACTCTCGTTAGAAAAAATATGAATAGATCTAGATTTGGTAAATTTGGTGTCACAGTCTAGAATATTTAGAAGGCATTATAAGGAAAGTATACAAGTTGCTAGAATATTCTGCCAGAGAAGTGAAAAGAAGCTTTCATAAAGATCTAAAATGTTCTATTGGTATATAGTGACAAGACGAGGAACAAAGTATGCTAAATACATGATTAACCCAAAGTTTTTGGAACTTTACGCGTCTAGCAGAGTTTATGGTTTAAAAAGGAAATAATTTGTTTAATTATAAAATAAAGTTGTTAAAGCAGTAGAGTATATAAAAACGCATAAAAAGTTTATATTATTTTTTTATTATGTAGTGAATTAACGAAAGATGAATAACACTTTACTAAGATATAAAATCTAAAGAAAACTTTATTAAAGCATTAGTAAAAACAGCAAATAAAACCTACAGATAACCTCGCCGCCATTATTTCTAAGGCATGGTTTCTGAATATTGATAATAATCAACTAGATTTCTAATTGAAAACAGACAATAAAATTAATTATGACAAATAGAATAGGAAGATACTAAAGAATAAATTCATTGAAGTCATCACGTTATTGTGCAAGTGTAAAAAAAATCCGAGAATGAAAACGAAGAAGATATATTTTCAGCGATAGGAAGAATCGATAGCAGCAAAGAAATGCCTTTCTCAACATTTATCAAATGAAGATCAAATATATGTGGCATGACAAATAAAAATCAGCAAATACTTCCGTTGGTTCTGACTTTTGAGAAGATTTATCTTAGACAGGAAGAAGATAGAATATCAGAAAGAGAGGACGCAGATGACTAAAAGTCAAGTTGAAAATCAAAATGAAGAGCTGATTACGAAGTTAGTGATGAACAATGCACAATCAGTTAAGAAGTCCTGGTAGACTTAAGGAATCACAAATGAATTAGGTCCTTACTAAAGTTAAATATGAAGACTCATCTTAAATTTTGTGAAAATAATGATGAGTTTAGTTAACTCATTAGAAATCATAAAAATATGTGTAAATAAATGTCCCCACTTTAAATTTTAATTTTAATTATTATGAACACAGAACGTATAGCAAAAGGATAAAATGTAATTAACAATTCTCTTTTTTAGAGTCAGGTATTACCTCAGGCAGCATTCGAATGCGATTGGGTAAATGGATCCACAATCTTTAGGAAAAATTTATCATTTTTTATTCTTCGCACACAAAAGGACATGGCTTTATACGCAGTAGATTTTTTTAAGATATCTTTGAGCAGCTTTGTTCTTGTAAGTAATAAATTTGAAATGATAAGTCACTTTTATATATACGCTGTACAATTGTAGATAATCAAAAATTCTTATTCAGTTTATGCAGTTCTGCGTAGAGTAAATCTACAGGAATAATTAATATTTATTACTCCTATTATTATTAAATACACGATAATACACGATAAAACTCATATATAAATTATTGTTATACCTACTTCAGTTTTAATGTTATTTATTTCATTCGACAAGTGTAATAAAATTCCTACAAAATTACTGTTTACCACCGTGTTTTATTTAAAAGGTTGTGACAGAAATTTACCACATAATAATGGAGTTATGGACATATCGACTAATAAGATATCAGTTCAACGCAATCTACTTTTCCATTTAAGTATTTTTTAATTAAGAAATTACTGCCTAAGTAAAGTTGTATTAATATATTCATTTTAATTAACTTTAGTTTCTTCATTTAACTTTATTAGTTTAAGACCCGTCCAACACCATTATTATTATTAATGCATGAGTAAAACACTTTAAACTAAAATTGTTGCATCAGATCTCTGTTACCCAAGAAGAGACTATCACATACCGAGTGGTAATCTATAATAATAAAGATAATACCATATAGTCCAACGAATCCATTCATTTTATGTAATCGTTCGTTGCATTATCTCATCATTAGGAGGAACTGCTGATGGGGTGTATTTATTAAGAATTTTTATAGCGGCTTCCTCTATCGTTTGTAATTATTACTGCAAGATAGTGTGGAATAAAGGTTAAATTGACAGAACACATTATTGCAACATGATATTGTCTGAATAACCATTATTTATAACACAAATTTATTTAAGGTCGTTTATAAAGAGTAAGTCAGTTGTGCCGTAAAGAATTGACGCTCTGTGGTCCATAAGTTCCTTTACAAAAAATACATTTTCACTAATGAAGTATATACGCACGACAAATGTTTAAAAATGCTTTTATTTATTTAAAAAATATGCTATAGAAATTTTAAAAAGTCGTCATTTTAGATAACACACCTTCATTAGTTACGTAGAGTTAAATAGTTCAGATAGGTTCCTTCTTCCAAGTTGAGTATTTAAAGCGTAATTCAATAATGTGATTGTCTGATATTTAAACCACTAATCGATCATGACTAAAAAATGTTAATTAAATGGTACTCAAGCCATTAATTGGTACTAAAAGTGGTAATTTAATGGCTCAGTGTAATTTTATCGCCGTAGACAGACGGTGATTGAAAGTTTTATTTCAACTAGAGTTTTTATAACATCTCCAATTAATTATACTCAATTAGATCTGACCCACATAAACATGAAAATTCTTGACTGACCCTGTTCTACACTCTGTGTCGAAATTTTCGGGGGTCTACCTCTTATTTTGCCAATCTGTGGATAATGCTGAAGATGACTTAATAGAACAAATTATTTCTGCTATTCTAAAATTAATTGTAGTATGTAGTTGTTTCATTTCTGGTGTGGTATTCCTTTTAAATTTATTGTTAAAATATAGATATTAACTGCAAATGTTATTTATGACTATTGTCTTTATCTATCTGTACTACAAGTAATATTTTAAATTTTGTCATAAAAAAAGTGTGTATTCGCGATAATTTTGTTTTTAAGTCTTCTAAACAATTATTCTAAAGTGCACGTTTGATAACAGTTAACGAGTAGTTAAGCAACACAAATTATAGTAAAACCATTAAGAGCTGTCAAATAAAACAGTTGTGGATAAAGTAAAAATTTCAAAAAATGACAAAAATACCCTAAAATTAGATAGAAACTGTAAAAGTAGCAAAACCTGCAGTCGCAATTTTATTAAAATATAAATTACCGGTCTTTTATTTTTTACTATTTCAAATACATATTAAGTAAAGCAATTTACTTTATTGTTGTCCAAAAATCATTAAATTCTCCTTATAAGAGGTTTTTAATTGCAACTGTAACCTTCTTTCTTTTTAAAGGTCAGATATAATACTTCGTCTATTTTTATAACAATATATACTTAATAATTAGGTAATAATCTTGAAGCTTCATTAAAGATTAATTCCAGCATAATTTAAATAAAATTGAAATCTATGTCGCATTGTCGAATATTAAATAATATTCTGTAGTCTGCTTTATTTAAAGCACGAAACTTGTATCTGATGGTATAAACGCATCATCTTACAATTTTATTTAATATTTCTAACTTTTAAACTTTAAAAATTATGTCATAGAACAACATTCTTGTTCGGGATACCTGATACTTCCAGAGCAGAAATCAACTTCAAGAACTCTTTTGGAAACTACCAAACCCATTATTATTTAAAAATTGAGATCTACTGCAAGATTATCACAAACATTATAAAACGTTAACTAAAATTTGTCTTCTCTTTTGCAAATAAAATTAACAACATTTTATTAAAAACATCTGAAAACATTGTGCCATTAGAGTTTATGTAAGCCAAGCAGGGTGTAAGTGATCTCAATCTGTGACAAAGTGGCTATGATTAGTTATGATGTCAAATTTGTTGTTTATCATCTAGTAAATTTTTATTTTAATAGCATCAATTGGGCCTCTACATATATTTACAAACTACGAATTTCCAAGCGATGTAGATTTTGCCAATTATTTACTTCAAGCCTGTATATTATCTGCACCCTGATAACTACTCTTCATTTACATCCATCAATTCGGTAGATCTGGGATATTTTAACTTTTCTATACATAAGGTTTCAGAAGATCTGAACTTTTTTATCCTTATCAAAGCACTATATTCAAACAGGGCTCGGGCTCTAGATCCGAATCAGTACATTGTTCACTCTCTTTTAGTTATTTAAAAAAAGCAAACAAACTATAATTGGTCAAAAACATGGATTCGTTAACGTTCTGCCGAAACCAGTTTGTTCTGTTTTGTTAATTCGACTGAATTGTAAGGACACGATTATCTATGGTGTCTACACTAACTCAACACAATAAATCACAATTTTTTACTGAAAAAATTAGAAGGTATGGGGATCAAGATCTCTTACTAAATTGGTGCAGAGATTATCTGAGATAAAGAACCCAACAAGAAAACTCAATAATAATATTTAATCTGAAATATACGACTTTCCATCTGGGGTTTTAAGTCCTCTTTTATAATAAACTTAGATGTCAAAATGTGTTAACACAAGCTTAGTAGTATGGGGGGATGTCGTGAAGTACGAGAAATATATTGAAAAAATTCCTCGTATTTTGACGTAGATATATGATTTTAAGTTTGGATGCTTTTGCGATGTTTAACAACAAAATAACACTTCGCTTATCACAATAAAATAATGAAACGTTGAATCTATATTTCTTTTCTCAATAGGTTATCGTAACTATTAATTATTTTTCTTATATATAATAGACCAAGTTATAAATGTCTTATTTTTATAAAAAAATAATAAAATTCAATTTGACAACAAGGTTTAACTAATTCAATTAAAAACATAAGAGTTGCTAAATTGCTATGGCTATCGTCTTAAAAAGTAAAAGATTTTCAAACATTAGGTGTGTTCAGCGTTGCCAAATTTACTTTTATAAAAATATTATATTTTCTTGTAATATATGTATATAATGAAAACTATTTTTTATAATTTCTTACTTCCTGAGCGTAAGCAAAGGAAGTATTGTAATCGAGTCCGTCGGCCGACTATCTACTTTTACGTTTTCTCGACATTTCATGACCCCTAGACTACGAAGAAATAGGTCTCCCGTTTCCGTCTATCTGTCCATCTGTCTGCCCGTCTGTCTGTCCGTCTGTCTGTCTGTCTGCCGTGCGGGATTTTTATTAGATAGGTAATCTCCGAAAGTACTAGGCCGACTGTTGTCAAATTTTGTATTTATATTAGGAATAACATGTAGATGGTAAGACGCTAACCAAAATTTGTCTAATCATCCCCATCACTGATGTGATGACGTCACTTCAAAATTGTACGTAGCAAATGGGTTTTAAATTGTATAAAATAACATAGTCCTAAACATGTAGTTTATGACTCCGAATAGAGTTTTTACCCGAAACGTCCAAATTTTTTGAAAAAAAATCGAAATTATAAAACAACATTTTAATTTTGAATCTGCAAAAACAACTGCATTGAAATCTTGGAGATGGTTTACAGTTATGATAAGCATAATAAATTTTTAATCAAAATATATTTACTTATCCCCTCCAAAATATTGATGATCTCAGCTCAAAAGTGTGCCGAATAAATCCTACCTAAAATGTACAAAATATGATGAGTCTGTACTTGTGATTTATGATTCCAGTCATATTTTTTGAATTTCCATGTCAAAAAAAAATAATGAATGCGTGAATTTATTTTATTGATTTAATCAGGAACTACAAAATCGAATGCTTTGAAATTTTGGAGATGTTTGAAAGTTATCATAGGCATGGTAAATTTTTGATCAAAATATATTTGCTCGTCCCCCCTAAAAAATTAATGACGCCATCCCAAAAAAATCCAAGTTGATATACGTGTCCTTGCAAAAATGTTGATGACGTTTTCACAAAATTGTGTAAAAAAAAACTCCACTCGAAAATGCTCGATATGTTTCATTGTACGTCAAGAGCGAGGGAAGTTCTGTCTAACAACTTTAGACTAATGTTTTCGTATTTGTCAACATCCCTCGACAATCTATCCTTACAAGTACTCGCAATACTTTGGACAGCCTATAGATTTAAATTTAATTGGTGGCTGTCAGGGGTTATTTCCTCTTCTTTATAATTGGTTGTTACTCTATAGAGTAGAACTTAATTAGATCTGAAAGTCATTTACTTACTAGGAAATGTTACAAAACTTGGTAACGATTTGATAATAATCAGCAGTGGCGGCTGGTGGGTCAAAATTTCGGGTCGGCCAAATATTTTGAGTCTACACCTTGGTGTTATATATTTTCGTAATGTATGGCTGCTACTCATTAACCACTGACATTTTACGTGCCAGGATGTACAAAACATCTCAAATGTTTCGACCTGTTAAAATAATTTTTTATAGGAAATTGACAATGTCAGTTTGATTCCAAATACTATTAATCCTTAATTCTACTTGTTCTGCTTTATCATTAATTGAGAACCACCGAAAACGTTATTTTTACTGAGTTCCGCGTCGACCGGCGGCTATACGGCTTGCCGACCCCGTACATCCACAATTAAATAATAATAATTAAATAATGACATGCAGTTAAAAAATATAAAAAAAAGTAATAATAAAAGTACCAACTGTTAACTATCTTCATTTACATTTTTTTTTTAATGTATATGACAAATTGTCAAATAAATTAATTGAATAATTGAAAAATTAAAATGATTTAAAACTTTAAATTCGTTTCTGAAATATCTGAAAACGCTTAGATGCTAAAAATACAGAAAAAGCGCATTTATGTTGTAGCTAAGTTATGTACGAAAAATAAAATTTTAGATAATTTAATGTAATTTTTTTCGTTTATTATTCATACACAGGAAAATGTATTAAATCGACAATTATTATTAAAAAAAAATAGTATGCACTGAAGAACATCGAAGCCGTTATTGTTTTGTAATTTGGTTAGCCATCTTAAATATTAAGCGTTTTAAAAACTAAATTCGCGTTGCTGGGTACGGCGAAGGAGGATTTCGCCGGACCTGGCACAACATACGTTCCGCCAGGTCTTTGTCTACTACAGTGTACTAGACAAAGAGAACGATGAAACCGTAAGCTGCTACGAAGTCGAAACATCGAGCATAATGCATTCCTGGATACGGCGTGCCGAAATCTCGCCGGCAAAGCGTGTTTATCAGCATTTAAAATTAGCAACAAATGCTTTATTTTGTACCTACAATATAATAAAATATATTTTTAATATATATGATCTATCCTAACGTACATTCAAACTTTATTTCTTTTTTTATTTTCTAATTTCAACGCTTACTAATAAGTATTTTAAAATGACTGGTACGGCGTGGCCGACCCTGCCGCCCCTGACCAGCCGCCCCTGATAATCAGCTATTAATTACCCGTAAAACGTAATAATATATTGTTACGTTTTACGGATATTTAAAATCGGTGTGGGTAAAACTCAATAATTTATTTCACAGTAATTCAAAACTACACGACTAACTATAGAGCGATATGTACACAATAATTCCGACTGGAATGGATTTGACTAGACTCAACTTCTTTACTGGACTCCATTCGTTGACTAGCTTGACTAAATCCTTGTATCAGAAGGTGGTCTTTATTTAAACCCATACGTTCCTCTGGATGGTTCGTGAATGCCGCTTAGAGGTCTTTCCGGACCCCCCAATCGAAACTTCCGAAAACCCGCTCCAGGCTTTTCTCTATGCGAACCCCGCCCGGCCGCCGTCACCGATACTGTAGAAAGCCCTCGAGAAAACCGATAGGCGTAATATCAAATACTTACATGAGACTCCAAAACTGACCATACTGAAAAGTTTACGCTATACATCTGTTGACGATGCTCTGCACCATTCAATACAGCATCCCTAACATTATACACTGGTAAGGTTTAAACTGTTAATATGACATATTAGAAATTATCCGTTTTTGAAATATCTAAAAGGATTTAACAAAGTACATATGATATAACAAGTAATTGTTGTCCCATAAGAGAGTCACACTACGTTGTTTGCAAAACAGTTATGCATACACTACGATCTTTAAATTGTTTATTAGTAACTGATTCAACACATTGCAAAAGATTTTTAGCACTAAATTATTTTGTGTAATATATTAATTTATAATATTTAAGAACTGGTATTACAGTTAGTCGAGATTTTCCACTTTGGAAAAACACTTATTATCACATGTCTGTGGTGCAATCACAGAAAACGACATATTCCAGCAGCACTGTATCATAATGCATACGAAGTTAATTTAAATATATGTTGAATATCATCAAACAACACTATTTTGACCTTATAGTTACAAATTTAACAACATAATAACATGATGAAGTACTATCATATTTTATAACTTATAACTATTTGAAGATATGTAAAATACTCTTAGCAATGTTAATCAACATTAACTTCAACAAGGATCAAGTATACACTGTCGCTGCAATTTGTTATACTAGAAAAGTTAAGAATTTCTTATGGATAATTAGCCCCATGTAAAGGACCCCTCCAAGAGATTTACAACTTTTTCGAAATAAAGTATATTCTCAAAAACAAAATTTTTCGTCTAGAATGACCTACATTTCGTTCATCCCTCATACAAGATATAAATAGTATTTCATTAATCAAAAACAACTTTTTTGGTTTTAAAAATTATTTATTAATATCTTTTATAATATGTACAATATAATAAAATGTTATTAATACCTAATATGATATGAAAATGAGTAATAAATTATAAATAACTGATTTTACAAATAATGAATCATTTTCCTTAATACACAGCAGTCGTCGTGCTATTAAAGACAATTCATACACGCTTTGAAAGATGACGTTGTTGACAAAAAAAATAAATTAATAAATCTTACATTACTTGCAAATATGTGATGCATGTATGAGTCTTAACACCAAATTAGAAAACAGCACAAAATCTAAACATCTAATACGAATAGCCTCCATTGCCTCCATTGCCTCCATTCGCCCCATTGCCCCCATTTGCTCCATTGCCCCCATTGTGATAACCTCCATTCGCCCCATTGCCCCCATTTGCTCCATTGCCCCCATTGTGATAACCTCCATTCGCCCCATTGCCCCCATTTGCTCCATTGCCCCCATTGTGATAACCTCCATTCGCCCCATTGCCCCCATTTGCTCCATTGCCCCCATTGTGATAACCTCCATTTCCATTTCCTCCTGGACGGCCAGAGGGATATCCTCCATTACCATTTCCACCTGGTCGCCCAGATGGATAGCCTCCCCCATTTCCTTCTATTGACAGACACCAGATTTAACACCGAATCATAGAGTGAAATATCAAAAAGCACCACCCAGAAAAAAATACTTGTAATTAAAATTAAGGAATATCTCTTTAACTGTGTGTTACTAGAAATGGTTAATAAGAAACCTACTACCAACAATAGTTGTAGCTTCCACCGAATTCTGGAACTTGTAAGTTGTTGTCGTCAATAAGTAAACTGCCATAATTTCCTTTTGTTTTAAAATGTGTAATTTTAGTAAGTTAATGGATTAATTAGTTTATTGAATGCTCATGTTAATGTGCAATGTGATAGCGAAATCATTAAAGCTTGTACCTTCATAACTGATTACTGGTTTATAGCCGTCAGAGTCCGCCTCATATTGCACAACTTGCTTCCTGCCATCTGGCAGCAGAACGTTGTACTCGCCTGTTGCCACATCTCCGTCTCTTGACTCCTGATGACCAAAGTGTGTGCCAAATTCGTCGTCGTTTACTTCGTACTGGAATTCATACTTTGCTGGTTCCTAAAATCAAAAGAGCATTATTTTCAGACAAATTTTCACCTCGTCCGGAAATTTACAGTGCTTTCTTCTTCACCACCATAGCCTCCATTACCATTGCTGGGTCTACCATTAGAATATCCATTTGCACCGTTGCCATTAGAATAACCATTCACTCCCTGACTAGGTGGAAGATAAGACTGTCCTGGCTGCCCTCCATTTCCACCATTAGCACCACCTATAAAAATCATTAACATGACGTTACAACAAGAAAATTGAAATGAAGCAATTTTACCATTGCCAGCTCCTGGAGGACCATACGTTACACCAGGTTTGGCACCATTACCTCCTTGTCCAGGGACACCATATGTAGAACTTGGTCTGCCACCATTTCTACCACCATTACCGCCACCATTTCTACCACCATTACTACCCCCATTTCTGCCACCATTGCTGCCGCCATTTCTACCTCCATTTCCATTTAATCCTTGTCCAGGAACTCCGTACGTTGTACTTGGAACGCCGCCGTTTCCACCATTTCCATTTACTCCGTTGCCAAATCCATTAACACCTTGGCCAGGAACACCATAGGTTGTGCTTGGTGGTCTTCCGTTGGTTCCACCATTGGCTCCACCATTGGTAGCGCCATTTCCATTTTGACCTGGGGGCAAATAGCTCGTACCAGGTCTTTGATCACTGTCTGGATGTCTTCCCGCAAGATTGCCATTACCTGATGGGGGTGGCCCGTAAGATGATTCTGGAGTGTAACCTCCATTACCACCATTGTTTAAGGTTGGTCCAGGCTGAAAACCTGGTGGGCCGTAGGTAGTTCCAGGACCACCATCTAGGGAAACAATGAGGTGAAAAATTAACCACAATTACATACGAGGGTAGAAATTAATTAAAAAAACTAACAGTTCGCAAAAACTACTCCATCTTCTAGTTGGTAAATTAAAAAACAACTTACTTTGTGAAGGAGGCAGATAAGAGTTTACTGGTGGTTCAGCTCTAGTGAAGGTGCTCCACGTCAAAAGAAGTATAACGAAGGACTGAAATATGTTTATTTAATATCTTCAATTTAAAACATATATCTTATGCAGTTTTATTTTAATGTTTTAAATATATATTACGTATTTAAAATTTCATTAGATGAGAATTAAAGAAAACTTAAAATTAAGAAATTAACTTACTTTTTGCATGTTTAGTGTTGTATCTTCTTTAGAATATAACCGTAACACTCGAAAAAGTTATTCGAACATCAACCTAAGGAGCTAACTTCGACTAGAGACAAAGGTGTCTGAAGTATTGAATGAAAATACTGAAGATTCTCGCGTTTATATACCTATTAGATCGTGATTCACAGACATGTATTTAGTGCATCATCGTAACGGATCCATTTTTGCAATTTTTAGTCTCTTGTCGCATTTTTGCATCGGAATTAACTTTAGCACCGAGAAAGTGTCACGTTACGGGTAATGGTGAAATCTGAAATGCTCAATACTGGAATCCACGTGTGTAAATCCACTATTTATTCAGTTGTTTTTAAAAGTGTATCTTCTTTCAGCTGCAAGTTGCAATATACGGCATGCGAATACGTATTAGAAGCGTGTGTCCCCGTCCGTGAAGATGGCCATAAAGTTGTCGTGGTATGCTTTATAGTCGTGTAATTTGCGTTGAGAAATGCATTTGCGAAAATGATGCGATTGTCGGAATTTGGATCCAGAGCAAGGTTGACAATTTAATTCGTATTTTTTATGAATTTTTGGTCACAAGAACTTTAATGAAATACTTTAGTATGTGCCCACATATTACCTAATAACAAAGATAAAAATATTGGAAAGGGAATAATAACATTATTAAATTCTGAAAACTTTGAAACAATGTAATAAATATATTATTTATTTGCTTAAAAATTCAGAAAAAAAAGTTTAATTTTGGGGCAGTACTGCGAAACCGGTGTTTGAGATTCACAATAGTGTCGAAACGAGAACAAAATGGTTTATTTTAAAGTACTCAATAATATTTCTGGTAATTTAAACATCGAGATACATTATATTAGTTGAACATAAATTACAGATACTTTGATTTTTCCAAATATGTAAAAGACACTTTGGGACTACATCCATAAAATAATGTTCAAAATTATGTGGTTTATCGAAAAAAGCAATTCTTTCTTTATTGGTAAGTTTTGAAAAGTTTCTACCGGCCATATTTTTTAACAATATACCGGGTGTCCCACGTAACACTTTCGGGCGCAATAACTCAGGTATTTTTGAACGGATTGTTATGAAATTTGATATTTTGATAGATGAGGATTAATATGAACCGGTGAGAATAATCATTATCTTGAAAAAGTAAATTTTCCATGCCTTAATTTAATTTTGAATTAATTAAGTTTTGCATCACTTGATTAAACATGAAAAATAACTACTGTATGCAAAAATTCATCTCCGAAATACGTTTGGTTAGACAAAAAACGATAAATTATTGCGCAAATAATTCCAAAAAGTATTAAAGGATAGGTAGCTATGAAACAAAAAACTGCAATCCTCGCATTTTGGACACCCTTGCGGGAATTTGATGCCTGTTTGCCAAGCATTATTTTATGAATTTTAAGAAAATACTAATTTCCAGTTGCTCGGCTACAACCTTTTCGAAGGTGCAAAATTGCTTTAGGTTCAGGAATTAGTTCTAACTTCACTGGAAATAATTTTGCTAGGTGTATTTAACATCTTGTTTTTTTTCACTCGTTTTAGGTCTTGTATAAGGGTCCTGATTGTTTCATCTAGGTCTGTACGGCATTCTCCGTAGGTTAGTTTTAATAATTAAAGAAAAGAGAACCATTTTCAATAACTTGTCAGATTTTGACAAAAATCTCAGGGGTGTACAAAATTGAACTGAATTTATTTTTAATTAATTTTTCGCGCACAGGCGTTATTTTAGTTGCTTAAAGTTATAACGCAATTTTCAATAATTTTTAACAACAGGAAGCTGTGTTAAAATTCGTTTTTTGTACGATAAAATAGTTTTTTTTTGTTAGAAGCCTAATCTTTACCTATTATATGTATTACACCTGTTTTAAATTTTATAAAAATCCCTTAAAAAATACCTGAGTTATTGCGCCCGAAAGGGTTACGTGGGACAGCCGGTATATTCTATGGAATTTTGATTCTTTTCCTGTAATGAATTTTAACATAATCGGTCCATTAGAATTTAATCCCAAATCTGTTCAAATTGATACCTTCGTTTCTGTGGAAGTCTCCAATTTTTAATAATTTATAAAACAGTCGGCCGCGGCCGTCGTCGTGTAAATACAGAGCTCGCCTGGGACTCGTTAAACAAGTCACATTATAACAATCCTTTTAAGCAACTAATAATGCCACCTATAAGTATTAGTTATTTAGGTAACAGTGTTATTTTAACTTAGTGACATCAATTTGAAGACACCAAGTTTTAGAGAGTATTTTAAAATTACTGTCCAAAATTTCGAATTATGAAACTTCGAACTTTAACAGCATACAACAAAACATATCTATATTATTATATTTATTGTCGCAATGGTGTAATAGACACCTTCGCAAGACCTGCGCGGCGTGAAGGTTCATCTTTGGGAACTACATGATTTAATGCAAACTACAATTGAATAAAATTTTGGAATAAATAATAATTTTATCGATGTGTATATTTGGGAATATATGACGTATAAGAGATTGATTGTATACAAAATTAAATTCGCAAAATATTATTTTTCCGGTTAACTGACCAAAAATACATAAACTATACACTGATTTCAAACTGAGCTGTTAATATACAGTGCATATTTTTTAAAAGTGGCCATAGGGATTCCCATGTTAAATTTTAGACCCCATGTTAACTTTTGTTAGGGTGGAAACCCGGAGACGATTTTTGCGGTGAAAATTGATTTAGGGTTCTACTTTAATTTTCACTACCACTTTTTGCAGTAACTTGTTAATTTGCGCTTTAAAAAATTTAAATCATTTTGATTAAAAAAGTTTGGTACATCATAGAAGGTTTTGACTTTTCATGTTAACTTGTCATTTTTGACAGCATAATTTAAAATTTTATCATTAAATACCTTTATTACAGTTTTAGAAGAGAAATAGAATGCTGGAATTCAAACATAAATGAAGAAAATAAAAGATAATTTCACTAAAATTGCGTTTTTGATGTCCACGATCTAGAAAACATGTTTATAAATCTGTCATAAAATGTTTAAATTGTGCTCTTGCCGGGTATGGGACGATGTAGGAATGTTGCAGCAAAATTTTGCCCAATTTCACTGTTGTCGATAAGCCTTTAAAGTATCCATCAGTGACCATTCCCACCTTTTCTTTAATTGTGCACTGTGGAATCTTGACGAATTTTGGTCATTGAAAACCAGAAATCGAACGAGTAATCAAGTTTTAGAAACGTCAAGTAAACGTATGTTTTTACATGGCTCTCTACAATATATTACCGACAAAAATATCCAAATATTTTAATTTTTTTAAAGAAATATGCTTTAAGTTAAAGCACAATTTTTAATAAAATCGAAAAAAGATGACCCAAATTACATTCAGTAAAAATTTCAACTCTGAAGCTTTACTCAAACATAAGTTAACATGGGGTATAAAATTTAACATGGGAATCCCTATGGCCATTTTTAAAAAAGATGCACTGTATGTGTTACGGTTAAAGTGAATACTCGGCTAGTTTCCAAACTAACTGGTTGTTATGCAAACTAACCAAGTCGCTAGTTATTATAGACGAAAAACTATTTTCTCTTACATTAGCAGGGTTTCTTGGTTAATTTGTAAACTGCCCAGCTAGTTTATAAACTACCGTACAAGTTTGGATGATTTACATACTTTTTTTAAAGTACATAAATTAACCGAAATAATTGGTTAGTTTACAAACCAGCCACTTTGTTCCGGTTAAAATAAGAACTTTTTCTCTAGTACGATAAAATAACCAATGAATTGTATCATTGCCTGCATTGAACACTAAGACAACTGTCTGTTTGCATACTAACTACCTAAAATATGATACAATTCATTGGTTATTTTATCGTACTAGACAAAAAGTTCTTATTTTAACCAGAACAAAGTGGCTGGTTTGTAAACTAACCAATTATTTCGGTTAATTTATGTACTTTAAAAAAAGTATGTAAATTATCCAAACTTGTACGGTAGTTTATAAACTAGCTGGGCAGTTTACAAATTAACCAAGAAACCCTGCTAATGTAAGAGAAAATAGTTTTTCGTCTATAATAACTAGCGACTTGGTTAGTTTGCATACAACCAGATAGTTTGGAAACTAGCCGAGTATTCACTTTAACCGTAACATATGTATTGATTGCTATTGATTATTGATATTGATGATTCTATTCTGAAAAGTATCTTTATTAAATAACTATAACAAATTAGTTAAATTTATTTATTAATATAGATTTGAAGACGTTAGTCCAAAATTATTTGCATAGAATCTTACTCTCGCCAGAAGAACAATCCATTACACGAATCCAGTTTCGTAGACAAATGATAAAATTTGATTTTCCAAATTTTATTTTTTGCAATAATCTCTCTACATGGTAAAAATCTACTGGTAAGCTGTATGCATCAAGTAAGATTTTTTTTATATATTTTGGGGTGACGTCATCTACTTTTTAGGGGGGAACAAATATCTTTAAAGTTTTTTACTTTAATATTAAGATTAATATGAAATTTAAACAAGTAACCGCCTCATAGATACATACAGGGAACAAATATATCAATTTTGATGCGTATAATGTGAAATTAATACTATCAACAGGTACTGTGTATTCAAAATTTCGGGAAAATTAGGTAATTCATTTTGTATTTAATCCATAAAATAATAAAATTATTATATGGATACATTATCTTGATGAAAGATTTACTTAAGAAAATTTCTAGTTCTTGGAAGCGATGATAGATTAATTCTCATTAACGCTCATAATAAGCCTAAAGCGAGTGCGGAATTTCAGTACAATCGGTTTGACAGTTTCTACCTTCGAAGGTTTCATTTTCCGCCCTTTGACTGGTGGAACATCCCGTATGAATCTATTCTTTAATTAATGAGTATTTTAGCAGAAATTGTGAAAAAATTTGAATTCTGTGTTGTGTATGTCGAAAAATAAAATATTTTCGAAAGACGTATTTAATTCGAGTTTTCTAATTTGTTTTTGGGGAATTGTATGTAAAATTCGTAATTTCTTATTCATCCACATAGCGGGAAAATTATGTTTTGCTAACGAAT